CATTTTTCGCTGATATATGCAGGTTGCACAATGTTTTCCTTCACCATAAGAACTTCGGGTAAATTATGTTATTATGAAATTCGAAAATCAGTGGTACATGGCGTTATTAGAACCCAGGAACTGTAGATTACAAGTCACATGCTTTAGCCCCTGAACCACCGACGTTCTCTTTTTTTTAATTCTTAAACTCTGCTAATGAAATATTATTCTGTCAGATGTCGATGGGCCAGAGACAATCTAGAGTGGCATATGTCAACGCGTGTTTTTGCCACCATTATGGGGCTATCATTTTTCTTGTCATAAAGATCATTAAGAGAATATGGTAAAATAATTCGTTCAGTTTGTAGCACAGCGTGAAGTTGGGAACCGAATTATTTAAGTAGCGTTGATTGATAGATAACATAAACAAGAAAGGTTGAGGAGAAAAGAAAGTATATATATATCGTATAAGGTATACAATTGTATTTTTGTATGTATTCGATTCACGTAAAAACTACTGGGCCGATTGCAAAAATTCCTTCACCATTAAAAAGCTACGTTATCAGTGAATAACATAGGGTACTTTTTTATTTCCCGCGGACAAAGTCGTGAGCAGTAGCTAGTTTAAAATAAAACACTTCTCTAACTTCTACACTTTTAAAAGGTTACTGAATGTTGGTTAGTGTTTTAACTGTAAACTCTCTTAACTTACTTCACTTCAATTACTATTTATGTTCATAGTTTAAATATAGTCTGGCTATAATCTATACTTCTATACTATTATAATAAAGCGTAAACACACACTTCTTTGTTGCTTAATTTGTCAGCAATTACAGCATATTTTTGAATAATTCTTTTTTTTAACTTACGTCACGCTTTAGGCTATATATTTTAACGCCATTAAATTTGGGGGGGGTAAATATTTTGGATAAAAACCCTAATGTGGGAAAGAGACCATAAGTTGCTGCCAACATCAAGGAAGCAAGATTGTCAAGGTTTGTCATGTCATTTTGACATTTGCTATTGATAATTTGACAAATGTAAACAATAAAATAATCATAATTTCATGCGGATGAAGCCGCATGGGAACAGCTAATAACTAAAACGTGTTTGTCGTCAACATTTCGGTAGCACGTACAGGAAGGAAAAATTTGCTAAAAATAAAACAAAACGTCCTTGTATTGTCGTAAAGTGAAAAAAACCTTTGTATTCTAATGAGCGTTAGATCAAGGGCATTCTTAAATTAAACGCAAATTAAATAAATTCTATCTGATTTGTAAACAATACAGTCACTAACCTTTGACAGTAATTCGTTGAAATAAATTATATAATCTAATGTAACGTAATTACGTATTAAATTTTATAAATGTGAACATCAAGTCATCTATGTATATATATACCAATATAATAAAGCGTAAATAAACATTACTTTGTGGCGTAGGATGTCAACAATCACAGCATATTCTTCGATAATTTTTCCTATAATAAAACACCCTACACTTACGACACGCTTTAGGTGTGTTTAGTTTACATATTATTAACCCTTAAATGCGTGATTAACCTTTCAAAAATAATCATATTTAACGCAAGATCAATATTATAATAAAGAAAAAAGAATAAAAAAAATCTAACATCCAAACTTATACTTTTTATTGAATGTTCTATTTACAATAGTGCGCATTTAAGGGTTAAATTTTATTTAAAATAGTTATTTGTAACTGGCTGTTCGCAACTTCGTCTACGTGAAATTAAAAAAATATACATATAATAGTCTATGTTACTCAGCGATAACGTAGCTTTTTAATAGTGTGAGAATTTTTAAAATGGTCCAATTAGTTTTAGAGTTATTACAATACATACAAAAATACAAATCTTTATAATATTTGTATAGATTTTTAGTACTGAAAAATGACACGTGTATAGTCTAGTTACGTTAACTAGTAAGATTATAAAGTGACGATTTTAACAATCTGAAGGTAACATACTTGTAAGAAAACGTATTCGGCGATAGAGTTAAAACGATTGTGGGCTCGCGATAGTCTGTGATCTGTTGACCTTACCGATCTGATAGGAGCATGGGATAGTTTAAATTAATTTAATTCTACCTGTAACTAGTGGATTTACTAAATAAAGCTATCATAAGTTAAAGTATTACTTTGGTTATATAGCTAACTTAACATAGGCTGTTCATTAAAATAACAAGTGAATGTTATTTAGAAATTAGATAAAAATACTTTAAAATAGTTAATACTAGCTTTCGCCCGCAACTCCGTCTGCGTAGAATTAAAAAAAAAACAAAAGTAAGTAGCCTCCGTGTTCTTCCAGACAATGCTCTAGATCTATGCTAAATTTCATCCAGATCCGTTAAGCTGTTTAGGCTACAAACTCTAACAAACATCCATCTAAACTTTCACATTTATAATATTAGTAAGATTAGTAAGATTGGTAGAGTTGCTTCAACCTAGAGACGAAAATTAAAAAATAAATGGAAAATTGGAAATTAATTCAAAGTGTAAATGTTACATTCTATACAAAAGAAAATTTTAAAAAAGTCTTAGAACACATATTTACTGTTATCCGCCCTTGATAATCGGTTAGCCCCCTACATCATTGGTTGACCACACCCATGCTAACAAACTTCCCTCTTCATAAGAAAGTATAAATAACATTTTATATAGTAACTAGCAGTTACCTGCGACTTCGTCCATGCCATATTAAGATAAAAAAGTAACCTATAATATGCCCTATAATGAAAGTCCGGTCGAAATCTGCTCAGTCGTTTCGGAGATTACCCGGAACAAACGCGGCTTGCAGACAGACAGACAGACAAAAAAAAATTAAACGCGATTTTCGTTATCAGTAACGCAAATACATCATCTTCCCGAAATCTGGAATTTTCTTTTGATATTACAAACAGACACGCCAATCTTATTGTATGTATCGATAGATATAAAAGTAATGGATATTTCATCTATAAAATTGGGCAGGTTTTTCTTTTTCGAAAAAATAAAACAAAATGCAAATTATATTAACTCCTGCTAACTGAAACAAATTCATTGTAATAAACAGACACTCCAATTTTATTATATGTATAGATAATAGATAGATGTAAGCAGTACTTTGAATTTAAATATCTATTTAGCGATTGGTCGTAAGCAAATGTAAGGTCTTTAAATACCGGGCGGCATCTTTGTCGTAACAAAATTGCAAATTAAGTCGTGATATGGCGTTAAGATAGCTCACTAAGATACATTTATATGATAAAACGTGAAAGATGTTTTACAATAAAGTCTTGTATTTTATTTATATATTTTATGAAAACATATATATGTTGAAGCTCATATTCTTATGATTGTTCACAGAAGTAGTGAAAATTATTCTAAAACGTTTTTTAGTAGTATCTAATTTACTATGTTTAGGCATACTTGGAGAAAATTTAAAATTTGCAGAACTGACCGCCAACCTTCGCTAGTCGGTGAGGCACCGTTAGATGAAGAAGAAGGCATAGCTTGACGAGGAATATAAAAACTCTCCATATGGAAGGGTAGATGCTACAGAAATTACTTGTTACTAATATTATAAATGCGAAAGTCTAGATGAAATGGATGTTTGTTACCATGTATCTCTAGAACGGCTTAACTGAAATTTGGCACAGATGTAGAACATAGTCTTTGCGTAAACATGGGATAGCGAATTTTCTAAAATTTTGCGCAGATAGATTCGTGGGCGACAGCTAGTGTAGACATATTAATGGAAAAAGCGCCCCAGACCTAATCTAGATCGACTAGCGATTTATTTTCTATCTGTTTGAAACTTCTCCAATACAGGGTTTAAAAATTCTTCATCTATACTATTATAATAAAGCGTAAACACACACTTCTTTGTTGCCTAAGATGTCAGCCATTACAACATATTTCTGAATAATTATCTTATAAATAAAAAGCCCTACACTTGTGTTATGCTTAAGGCTATATATTAAACTTAGGGGGTAAATATTTTGGATAAAAAACCTAATGTGGGAAAGAGACCATAAATTGCTGCCAACATCAAGGAAGCAAGGTTGTCATCATGTCATTTTGACATTTGTCAATTACAAATGTCAAAATGACATAATTTGACAAATGTAAACAATAAAATAAAATTTTCATAACTTCATGCGAATGAAGTCGCACGGGAACAGCTAGTTATTCAATAACTATTAGTATCGTATTCTGAGGTGAAATCTTCGATGCGTCATCGCGTCCTCGTGTGCCATCTAATAAATGAGTTTTCCTTTACCGCTAACATTTGACGTGAGGTGTCAATTAAAGTTAAAGGAAGTGGTTAAAAAATCTGTTAATCGATCTGTTATTACGCAAATGAACACTGAATACAACGAATGTACATTTTCTGTGAAAGTAATTGCTTATTTTAACTCTCGGTTTAATTTTAACCAAATATGAACTCCTTATTATTCAAATAAGTATACCTAAGAGCTTGTCCGACCAAATTGTCAATTGTCTGATAACAATCCAACGTGTAAAGTATCGGATTTGTTACCTCACACAGTGACATCATTTGAAGCTATCTGAGTATGTATCAGCCAGAGGTAAGACAGGCTCTAAGTAGAGTTAAGTAGTTGTTATAGAAACAATGCGTAAAGTACATGTGTGTATAATTATATACAGGAAAAAGAGAATATTGAATAATATAAACGTAATAAATATTTTAGTATAGTCTATTCAAATGTATTTCACAATAAACAAACAGAAACTACTACGATAAAATTTTTAATTGCTCACCTTTTAACTTCAAAGTATATTTAATCAAACGTTATAATTGATAGCATTGTAGTTACAATTTATTTCTTCTCCTCGAATCGTTGAATTTTCGAGAAACTTTGAATTCGTCTCCCAGTAAAGTATTCGCAATTAAATAATGAATTATGTAACGCAATAATTTGGTAGTTTAAACTCCATCGGTTCTGTTGTACACAACGAAAGCAATGGGTTGATTAAGTAACTATGAAATTCCATACTCACTGTTTGGAGATCCAGCTCTGAACATTGGGTTCGGTGCCATCCAGGGAAACGCTCCGAAAGGCCACGCCGGCGGCGCTGGGCCTTGGTACAACCGCGGCAACAGCGGCTGTGGAACAACAACTCCGGTTCTGCTTTCCATTTCCTCTCCATCATTATTACTCTCCCTTTCGTCTCTTTCATCGCCAGCATTGGATTCGACGTCTTCAATATCAACGTCGCTATCATCGCTGTCGACTGCACTCTCGGCGTCAACGCTACTCGTGTCTACAGTTTCTTTAGGTGCTTCTGTTTTACTGCCCAACAGGGAGTCAACACTAAATGATATTCTCCCTTTACCGCCGCTCTCCGCGGCTTCAGCCCGATCACATACGAGCGAAGTCTTCATTTCATCTACTCGATTGCATCTCACTTTTACGCTTGAATCGCGATTATAAACATTTTTAACGTCATTTGATTTGTGTTTTGAGTTTATGCATTGATAATTGGCTGGAATTCAAAATGGCTAATTAGAAGTTTGTTTATGCAAATTTTTCTAAATTATTGTCCATAGCGAAGTGTTTCGATGATAGTTTGACACCTTTTTATTTTTATAGCACGTTAATTGTCACTTTTAGCACCATAGCACTCGTTACGTAACTTACAAGTCTAAAGATTGATTACAGTAATTAATTTACACAAATTAAAACAATTTTAATGTTTTAAATTTCAAATACCGAGTCCATTTGAAAACTTAGCCGTATATGTCCATTAAAATTGCAACACTGCAATATCCGAACGCGGTTTCTTATTCACAATTTCAAATATCGAATGTCCGTTTTCAGTTTAAAATCCCGTCGTCAAGTACGTTTTGTATCGCGAAAGCGTTCAAGTACGTTGTCCGCGTAACGTTTCGCGCGGCCGTTCGCTGCAAATCGCGCTGGTATTGGGGCGAAGAGCGCTCCGAGGACCGCCTCTCCCTGCGCTGCTGCAGAGGGGGCCGAGAGGGACGCAGCTACCGACCGAGGAATTTTAATAACCGGCGCGGCGAGAACGGGACGACGCTACCACCAGACATGTGTGTAAACGCGATATTGGGTAGGCGGGGTTCGTCGCGCTCAAATTAACTCTCTCACTTTAGTACGCCTTATAAAATACTTCACAATCAATTGATTTACAACCCTAAATCTTTATTTTTAAGGTTGGCTTTTGCTTGTTTTCCTAGTATGAAAGTAACGTAAGGGAATTAGAGATGTTGGATTGCAGCAGCTATTGTGTTGAATGAAAAAGGAGTAAATAGTCGATGGCTGTAGGCGGCGTAGAGGGGACTTTACGATTTAATTATTCGCGAATACGGAGGCATTTTGTAGCGAGCTAATGTCTCATTGTCTCATTAATATC